CGTCGGCGATGCGCCCTGCGGCGGCGGCGGACGGCGCGGCGGCGGTTGGTGCGGCATCGGGGGCGGGGCGCCTGGCGCTCACGAGCGGCTTCGTGACGTGCATGGCGGTGGCGCCGCTGCCGGGCGCCGGGGCGGCGCTGGGCGTTGCGGGGACGAGCCACGGGGCGCTCTGCCTCTTCGTCGTCGAAAGCCGCGCGGGGGGCGTCCAGCCGGCCGTCTTGAAAGTCTGCGAGGCGCCCCTCCGCGAGTACTCCGACGGGCTGATCTCCGTGGAGGACGCGGTGACGGACGTCTGCCTCGGCTTCGACCCCGCGGGGCGCCCGGAGTTCGTCGCGGCGGCCTCCGCGACGTGCGTGGCGGTGGTCGACACGCAGTGCTTCGACGAGCTGCTGCGGGCGCGGGCGACGGAGGCGGTGGCGCGGGCGTTCACCAAACAGCGCTCCCCGCACGTGGGGCGCCCGACCAGCGAGCCTTTCTGCGCGTCGTTTGCAGCCGCGGAGGTGGTGCGGGTGCTGGCGCCGGAGCGCCACCACGCCGCCTTCACGATGGACGTGGCCCTTCTTGTCGTGCTGGACGACGGGGAGGTGCGCTACGTTGCACGCAGCGTGGTGGGTGGCTCGGTGCAGCTGCTGCTGGAGCACCACCTGCAGCGGCAGGCGCGACAGAGCGAGGTGGGACTCTCCATGCTGTTAGACGACGACCCGCGGGCGCTGCCGCACGTGCTGTACGCCTACAGCCTCTCGCCCATTGTGCACAACGTTTGCGTCGCCGCGGTGGGCCCGCGCGCGGCCAGCAGCATTGTCGTAAATGACGCTGCGTTGTGCTACGACGCCGCCGCACACCAGATGCGGCTCATTGTCGCCGGCGCAGAAACTCAGCCTGCTGAGCTGCCGGGGCAATTCTGCACCACTTCGGGGTGGTGGGCAACTGCGTTAAATGTTGTATGTCTTCGCGACACACTGCAGCAGGCCCTGGCACTGATGGTGTCAAGCTTCGCCGCGCCCAAGTCAAGCTCGCTGCCGCGCGATCGTCGCGGTCTGGCGGCAGTGCTGGCGTTCCCTGACGGCCAGCTGCTGCTGTTTGCCTGCGGCAGCGAGCTGCACGTGTGCTCCGCCGCGGGGGAGGTGATGAGCAGTGAGTACGGCGTTCTGCGACACGTGCACACGGCCGGATCTGTTATCAGCAGCATGGCGGCCGCACAGTCGCGGAACAGTGGGAAGTCCGCCGTCGTGGTTGCCTGCGGCTCGTCGCTCGCACTTCTGCAACTTTGAGTGGTCGGGTGTCTCCGCGCCGCACGAAGAAGGCGTCGCCCACGGCCCCCCGCGCGATGTCTGCGTTTTTGGAGTTTCTTCCGATAACTGCTTTTGATAACGAGGAGGAGGCAGAGGAGCGGTGAGGTGAGAGGGAGCGTGAGGCAAAGGGTAGAAGTCGTGGGGTGGCGGGCGTAGCGTGCGTGTGCGGGTTGAAGCCTGCGCGGTGTGTGGAGAGGACACACACACACACGCACGGAGAGAAAGAGAAAGAGATAAAAAGGGATACAGGAAGAAGGAACAAAACCGCTGGAGGACGAGGGAGTGGCCGTCTGGCCGGTTAGGAAGGCATTTGCCGGCGACATGCGCCACCGGTCCCCAAGTCACCCTATTGGTGGCGGTATACATTGGTGTTGTTGTTCTTTTTTTTGTTTGTTTTTTCCCTTCGCCTTTCTTCTTCTTGACTGTGGCTGCTTGCGCGCCTCATCGCACCACACCTCCCGGCGCTGAGGCGAAGGACTCAGCATTTGCAACCGCTGTACGTGAACATTTGTGCGCGCACAACCTGCCTGCACCCGCCCCCCGCTCTTCGTGGGCATACCGAATGGACGGGCGGGCCTTGTCGCTGGCGGAGGGGTTTGTGGCGGCGCGTTACATCCAGGCGGGGGGTGAGGCACTCCGCGCCAATGAGCGTGTGGTGCGCTCCCTCCTCGCCCAGCGCCGCTGCCCTGAGCAGGGCATGTCTGATGTCGCCATTGAGTGGCTGCTGCACCAACTCGCGCTGATGGACACAAACAACTTCCCCGCACACGTCGGTGCCGGGGAGCGGGAGGGCCGCATCGCCGCGCCGCTCGTTGCGCGGAGGCACTACGGCCTCGCCCACGGAATTGGCCGCTCCGGTGACGTCCTCAGCGACCAGCCGAAGGCGGCCGGTTCGAGTTTGATGCAAAAAGTGACGAACTGCATGGTGCTGGACCTGCTGCGACTCGCGGGGGCGCCGTCCATCGAGTCCGCCGTGGTTTTTCCCATGGCTACAGGCATGACACTCGCGCTGGTGCTCCGCGCCCTGGCACTGCTGCGGCGGGATGCGAGGCGGAAGGAGACGCCTGACGCCTCACTGGGCTTCCCTGAGGAGGAGCCGCGGTGCGTCATTTGGACCCGCATTGACCAAAAAACGGCGCTGAAGTGCATCGAGGCGGCGGGGCTTGTGCCAGAGGCAGTGGAGCTTCGTCATGCGCCCTTGCAGCGGCACGGCAGAGGGGGCGCACGCAAGGGCGGCAAAGGCGGCCTGCATCCGTACTTTCTCCAGGTGCACGTGGACGACATCGCCGCCGCGATTGGACGCGTGGGTGGCCCTGGGCGCGTGCTTTGTGTGCTGTCGACCACTAGCTGCTTCGCCCCCCGCCTTCCCGACGACGTGCTTGCCATCGCCCGGATGTGCAAGGCGCTGAACATCCCGTACTTGGTCAACAACGCCTACGGCGTCCAAAGTCGCGTCATCATGCGGCGCCTGGAGGCAGCGACGCGGCTGGGACGCGTGGACGCCATGGTGCAGTCGGGGGACAAAAATTTTCTTGTCCCCGTGGGCGGCGCCGTGCTTAGCGGGAGGAAGTATCTTGTGGATCGGGCCGCCGCGTTGTACGCCGGGCGTGCGAGTGCCTCACAGGTGATGGACCTCTTCATCACCGCACTGAGCCTCGGCCGCTGCGGCTTCCAGCGACTCTGGGACACCCGCTACGCGGTGCTGGGGATGCTGCTGCAGCGGCTCCGCGGGTTTGCCAAGTCCAGGGGCGAGGTGCTGCTGGAGGACGAGGATGAGGGGAAGACCGTCGTCGCTGCCGCGGACGGCCCAGACGGCGTCGCCGCTCTGGCGCCCTGTCTGGCATGCGGGATGCCTCGGAACGACATCAGCCTCGCCATGACGATGCATACAGTGGGAGGTGCGGCGAATGCCAAGGAAATTGGGGCGCGTCTGTTCCGCGGCGCCGTAACTGGGCCGCGCGTAATTGTGCCGGATCCGGCGGCCAAGCTGCTCTGCGGGCTGTCGTTTCGCAACTACGGCATGCACACAGATGCGGTGCCGCCGTGCCCGATGCTTGTCATGGCGTGTGGAGTGGGCATGACGGTGGAGGAGGTGCGCGGGGTCATGGAGCGGCTTGAGGCGGCGTGGCCCCCACCACCGCCAGCACCAGCAGCAGCAGCAGCAGCAGCAGCAGAAGGGACATCAGTCACGGCAGTAACGACATCCGCGGCAGCCCTGTCGTTGCAAGCGGTGAAAGATGAGGCACCGCCCGCAGTTGGCTTCGATCACGGTGTGGATGGCGACGAGCGGGAGGAGGGGCAAGAGGCGGAGGGAACCGACGAGGAGGAGGAGGAGGAGGAGGAGGAGGAGGAAGAGGAGGAGGAGGAAGAGGAGGAGGAGGCGATGGAGAATGGCTGGCGGAGCCCCAGCCACTGAAGCGCACGCGCGTGTGCATTGCTGCCACCGCGGCCGCTGTCACTACGATTACGAGTAAGCGATTGCCAGTGCACTCACGTCTTTGGTGGTGGCGCGCCCGCATAGGAGGGGAAGTAACCAGAAGAATAAAACAACAACAACAACAACAACAACAACAAGAGAAGTAGGCCCCGGCGGCTCTCGTGGGCAGCTTGGTGGACGAAAATGGGCTTTAAGGAGGTAGGGGACGTTTTGCGTGTAGCCTGCTTTGCTCTGAGGGAGGGGGAGAGAGGAAGTGGGACT